CTCCTGCGCCTTTAATTTGAGCCCCTGGGTGCTTTACCCTAAACCCCAAACCCCTAGAGCCTAAACCTTGGGTACTGCCCCTACCCAGTAACAGTCTATCTTAGGGGTCCTATTAAGGGCTATATATAACCCTTTTATAACTATTATCCAACTGTTACTAGGGGGGCAGTACCCAAAATGAATGCATGGATCCCTATAGTAGCCCTTATATAATCCATGATGGTAGTTTCTCTTTTCTTCTTCATTCCTTCATTCCCACCCCTAAACCCTAAACCCTGTAGTAGTTTCCATTTTCTTTTCAATTCCTTCATTCCCACCCAAAGACCCTAAACCCTATAGTAGTTTATAGTAGTTTCCATTTTCTTTTCAAATTCCTTCATTCCCAGCTACCCATAGGTAAGTAGCCTCGGCTTGTGGGTCCGCGATCTGCATCTGCAGTGGGTGGCTTTGCTGCTCACGCTATCCTGTTCTGATGGGTGTAACTGAACCTAGTATATTTGGGTTATATTGGGATAATGGAAAAGAAAATGGAAACTACTATAGTATATTGGGGTTATATTGGGATTATGAACATGTCCCCTTCAAAATCCCTATTGGGGGCTCCCATTCATCGCTTGTAATCCCTTTGTAACCCTGGAGGTTCAAAGGCCCTCCCATTTTCAGAAAGTCCTCGATAGCTTTGTGAGACTTGTACGACCGCCCGGGCCAGGCACGCTCGCAGATCAAAAGGAGGAGCTGAATTTGAGGCGCTTTGAAAATGCCGTTCGGGACTCAGTGGGCTGGCTCAATACTGAAGAAAGGAGAATCAAGTGGACAATGAAGTGGAAAACGGAATGGCAACCGAATTACCCAAGGTTTTAAAGGCTGTCGAAAGTAGCAGCCTTGTTCCTTCCCCACAGCATTCCCCAATGATTCTATCATGATGGGACGCTTCCAAGCAGAGCAGCAGAGCTGGCTTTTTTGGGTAGTTTGGTTAGGGCTTAGGGACTTCTTCCAGCTGTTGCACAGGTTTGGCGCCTCAAGCAGAAGGACAAGAGGACCAGCTTGCCATCATGCACGGGCAGAGAGTGCCATATGCTCTTGTATCTAGGACTAGTAGTCACGAAAATGCAGCTTCCTTTCCATACCTTGTGAAAATTACGAATGAGATGCAGGACGTGCGAAGACTCCTGCGAAGACTGTTTGCGAAAGGCTGCAGCCGCCATTGGAAAGGACTGGGACTCCTGGCAGCTGTGAAATGACTCTGACCGTTGGAGTATGTTGGGGTTATATTGGGTTATATTGGGGTCATATAGGGATAAAGGGACAATGGAAAAAATGGAGCCCATAGGGATTATAGGGGTTATGTAGGGATTTCTCAAGCCAGTGCACCCTCAGGGACTCAGGGAATCGTTGCTGTTAGGGGTTTCAAGTGGGTTAGGATGTCGGGATTACTGTGAGACATGTCCGTAATTTCAGATTCAAGGGTTCTTGTAAATTGAGTTATACGTACCCCTACTTCTAACCTCTGTGACAAGCCCGTGAATCTCCTGGTAGTGTGAAGTTTGCGCGAACAGCCCGCATACAATCCTTCAACAAAGGCCCCATATACCATTCCCCTGCATCTCCAATCTACCTGAGCGTAGCAAATCCTAAGCCCCAAATCCTAAACTGTAAACCCTAAACCCCAAAACCCTAAACCCTGAATCCTAAACCTGAAATCCTAAACCCCAAACACTAAATCCTAATTCCTACACCCTAAACCATGTTGCAGGAGCTGGAATTTCGCGGACCGAGCACTAAATCCAAATCCAGACAAGAGGCGGGGCATCCCTGAACCCTAAACCATGACCACACAGTTTGGGGTCTAGGGTTTAGGGGTTTAGGGGCTCAGGGGTTTAGGGGTTCAGGGCCTTTGGGTTCTAGGGGTTTAGGGTTTAGGGCTCCTAAATTCTAAACCTTGAGCCCTGAGCTCTGAAGCGAGCTCAGGGTTTGTACCAGGGTGGCATATAAATCCGGCGCAGCAGATCCATACGGGTAAGGATTTTGGATTTAGTTTTCGGGGTTGGGATTTGGGGCTTAGGTTTCAGGGTCTAGGTTCTGCAGCTCGGGCTTGACAGGAAGTGCCCCGAAAGAAGGGACGATCAACTTTTGGGAGCTTCGCGCTGTACCATCCCTGGGGCTCGAAGTCTATAAGTAGTACCTATAGTCCCCCTTAAGTAGATAGAATATGGGGTATATTATTGGGATTATCGTAGGGGATATATCGGCGTTATAGTCCCCCTTAAGTAGATAGAATATGGGTTATATGGGGATCTTATCAGAATATACCCAAAGCCATATCCTATCTACTTAAGCCATGGGCCCTAAACCCTATTTATACTTACATGGAGCCTCAGGGAAGTGGAGCTCCATCTTTCAATTGCCCCATAGACAGCAACTGTTATCTAACTCTAAGGTTGAAAAGTATGGACCCCCAGTATGAGCCCTTAGGCCTTTTAGGGGTATTCTAGGGACCCTTAAGGGTACATATAGGGTGTATAGTAGGTATATATACCTACCCAGGATTGAGGGCTCATAGTAGGTATGGTTTCAACCTTAGATTAACCACCAAGCCCACTGGAGTCTCTAAAGCCAATTCCTCGGGCTACCTTGCCAGAGGTGTCGCAGTACCTGCCTGAACCGCTCGGTGGACCTACAATCAGCCGCAAGAGGTCGGCTCAATTCAGGATTTTGAGCTTAAAGGTTTCGGTTCACCAGGTTTAAGAATTTTTGGGTGGAGAACGTGAGGATTTTCGGGTTTATGCTGTTTGGGATTTTAGGGTTTCAAGGTTTCGGGTTTAGGCTTGAGACGTTTATGGTTCTGGTATTTATGGTTGAGGGCTCTAGTCTAGCTGTGAAGGGGGTCTTGAATTTTCGGGTACCTGTAGAGTTATTTAGCCGTATAAGGAACTTCACAGAAGCCACAGGCACAAGGAAACCACCTTGCTTGCGGTACGCGTGCATACATATATATTATATATATATACAGGGGGGTTTCCCAAAATTAGGGGTACGTACCTTTTTGGGGGTCCGAATAATAAGGACTAGAATATATAGGGGTCTATATTGGGGTCCCTATATTAGGGAAACTACCATATATCTCCATGTACTGATAACTTAGTTGAAGTTCCTTGGTAGTGGCCCAGTGAACCCCTTAGACAGGCTTTCTCCATCTTTATGCAGCAAGATTGCTTCGAATGCTGTAGTGCCTGTGCCTTGGGAAATGACAGTTTCTGACAGCACAGAGAACCCTCCGCTCTTCTAAGCCGAAAGTACCACGCGGAGATGGCTGTAGCTGAAAATGGGCCCAGAAGGTGCGAACCTGAATTCTGTAACCCTAGACTTTGAGTTCCAACTGAACACAAAAGAGCGTTCCATGAGAAAAGTTTAAACCCCTTTACCCCAAACCGTCAACTCTAAGCCTTAGACCCCTGAATCCTAAACCCTAAATGGGTGAACTCCTAAACCTTAAGCCCTAAAACCTACATCCTAAAATCCTAAACCTAATTCCTTAAATCCTAAACCCTAAAACCTAGATCCTTCAAATCCTAAGCTCTAAACCCTAAAACCGAAATCCTTAAATCCTAAAGCCTAAATCCTAAGCCCTAAACCCCTTAAAGGGCCTTACATTTTTTGTGCCACATCAGGCGAAGTCTCGATAACCGAGCTGTCAGCTTTCCGAACCCGCCAGGTGGGTTTGGGGTTTAGGGTACCTTGGGTAGGGTTTAGGGTTTAGGGTTTAGGGTTTAAGGTTTTAGGGTTTAGGGTTTAGGGTACATTGGGGGGCTTGTTTCCCCGACTGTATGGGTTGGGGTGTAGGGTTTAGGGTTTAGCGTACGTTGGGGAGCTTATTTTCCTGATTGTATGGGTTGGGGTATAGGGTTGAGGGTTTAGGGTTTAGGGTACGTTTGGGAGCTTATTTCACAGATTGCATGGGTTTGGGGTGCGGGGTTCAGGGTGTAGGGTTCAGGGTTTAGAGTTGAGGGTTTAGGGTTTAGGGTTTCTGGTCTGTAGGGTTTAGGGAATTTAGGGAATTTTCCGAAATTGGGTCGTGTCTTTGGGAGTCCCGCGTACTTTGGATCGTGCAGTATCGGGTCTATATTGGGGCCGCTAATTTATAGAAACACCCACACAGTGTGGCACCATACACTAAACCCTAAACCCTAAACCCTAAACCCTTGTGACAGCATTTATGATCAGGGGGCGGGGGGCGGTTTATCCTGAGTAGGAGCTGCATGGCAGTGCTTCCATGACACGTTTGACCTCCTTACGTGGTTAGTGGTAGATATGAACTTGAGCCCTAAACCCCATTTAGGGTGTAGGGCTTAGGGTTTAGGGTCTAAACCCAAACCCTAAACCCTTGAACCGAAAACCCCAAGCCTTGAACCCGAAACCCTGTGCAAGGAGGTGTGTTGGATGTGCTGCGCCTCGAAAACGCAATGTGGCGTCATTGGGCCCAAGAGAAAAGGCCTGCTGCACTGGAGGTTTCTCAAAATTGGGGCCCTACTGGACCATGCTTACATGGAGATTCCACTACTTAGGGGTCCTTGTCTGGGGGTACCTAGAACAAGGATTATAGTATACAGGGTAGATGACGGAGCCCCATCAGTATGTGAACGCACATTCCTGTTGCTGTCTGGGATGCATCCTGAACATTTGAGACTCTTCGTCGGCCTGCACTCTACCTGTGCATGTACTGCCTGCCAAGATTGCTTCACGGAGGACTTGATAGGTTGTGTCAGGCTTCAGCAAGTTACACAATGTTCTTGCATTGGGTAGACTTGTCGGAATTGAGCAGCTTCTCGAAACGGTCCCACTGGAATCCTTGTTGGGGACCATACATCCCTAGCATCCCCAGCGGCCCTCCACGTGAGAAGCCGCCAAACCCCAAACCCTCAATCCTAAACCGCATATGTGTTGGGAAACCCCATATGCTTCGGAGTGGCCACCTTTATCGATACAGTAGTTTCCATATTTTCCATTACCCATAAATGCCCCCATCTAGTCCCTACATATCCTTGTATATCCCTTTGAAGGGCCTCCATTTTCTCTTCCATTCTTGCTATATATTGAGCTACTGTTGTTATTGCTACCATGATACCCTTGCTATTGCTACCCTAAACCCAAAACCCCTATGGTTAGTAGAATTATGTGGTGCCTTGCAAGGGCCTGGCAACCTTGGTACAGTGCTTTGCCAGAGGAAGGCGCAGAGAAGGGCAAGTCCGCAGTTTGGGGTAGAGAATTTGGGAGGCTGTTACGGAACCCTATAGGGTACATAGCGTATATAGGGCTTTGTACTTTGAATAGTAGACAATGGGGTTTGCCTTATCACATTAACCGTAAGAAGCCTTCCTTAACAGCAACCCATGAGTTCGGAGTGTAGGGTTTGAGGTCTGGGGTTTACTAGGACACAGTACTACACACATTGGAATTACAAGTTGTCACTCCATGATTCTGCCTGCGGAATCGCCTCGACTTGAGAATCTGTTGTGGCTGACGATGCTTAGCTGACTTTCCCAAAGCCCTAAACCCTAAATTGAGTCCTGGGACGGTTTAGGACTTATTGTCCCCCTTATTATTGAATAAGATTCCCATATACCCCATATTCTATCTACATAAGGGAGACTATAGCATGTAGTCACTACCATCCATCTTGTTGCCTCCAGCTTGACGATCTGATTCTATTTTGTCGGCATGACTGCCGTTTCCCTCTCTGTTTTCTGATGGCTGGGTGGCTGTTGAGGAACTTAAGTCTTAATTTAAGTTACCGCAATATTGGCTTATAATGAACAATGTGGTCTCCTTGTCATAGTGATTTAGTTAACGTTTCTTAACAGCAACTCAGAAGAGGGTGATGGTAGTGATGACGATTGCACTTAAGTAGTGCTCGTTGATGCCTCCAGTTGTTCCCTAAGCATCGCACCCTATCCCCAAGCAAAACAAACTCCACGCCCTAAACCCTAGACCTTAGAGCCTAAACCTTAAACCTTAAACCTTAAACCTTAAACCCTAAACCCTAAGCCTTAAACCCCAAACCCTAAACCCTGAACCCTAAAGTTTAAACCCTAAGCCCCACACACTTAGCCTTTTTTGAAGTTACTTTTTGGCAGGCCAAAAGGCCTCCCAGCAAATCGGGTCTCAGCCACTCCCTGAGATGATATGCAGGTCTGCTGTGTTTGGGGCTGAGCTCCAAAAGGTCGTTTCCTTATTTAAGGGGACCCCGGCATAGATATGGGTTTAGGGTTTTAGGGTTTTAGGGGTTAGGGATTTCCCAAGAGAGGAGGACCCCAACATAGTGGAATGGAGAACCAAATGGAAAAGAACATGGAAAATGGAATGGACACTAGGATTCTATAGGGTTTATATGGTTTTGGTAGTTTCCTTATCTATTTAGGGGGATCCCAATATAGACCCCCAGATACTATACTCCTTATTGTAGGGACCCCCAAAAAGGTACCTCTAATTTTGGAAACCTCCCAAACCAGAATATATGCTGCAAAGTCTAAGTTGCGCCATTGTTGGGTCTAGTTGCTTTTTTATTCCAAAAAAAAGGTAATATACTAAAGCCAGATAAGAAGCATACAGCTACATTTGTCATAATATCCCATTCAGGAACCAGTAGGAAACGCTCTCAATAATCCCTATGTGGTCCGTACCAGATAGGGTTAGGGGTCCAGCCCGGAAAAAGGGCCTTTGTAGACTATGGTCCTGTTAACGCAGGCCTATCTGGTGTCTTCTTATGTTAGTAGGAGGCAAGGAATAAGTCACTTTTTGGAGTCCCCATACAATGAGTCAAGCTCTAGACACTTAACTGGTTCCGCTGAGGATTGACTTCCCACAAGTGAGGCAGCTGCTGCACAAGCAGGCGCTACACGTGGAAGCCAGTATGTGCCAAACCAAGGGTCCCATGCTCACAAGCAAGGAAATATCCCATTATACTACGGTAGCTTCCATTTTCTTTTCCATTATCCCTATAAACCCCCAATATACTATAGCAGTTTCCATTTGATTTTCCATTATCCCAATATTACCCCAATATACTATCAAGCATCAATCATGTTGCAGCATGCCCAAAGATTGCAAGAGTCTCTGTCTGCAGAGAGAGGGCCCACAAAAACAACGCTGGGCCCAGTCTTTGGCAGCCTTGTCATCGTTTTCCCGTTGTCTTCTTTGCCATACCCCCCCCGAATGAAAGATGCTATCCTTGTTCTTTGCTGGCTTGCAGTTCAGAGATGATTGCCTCGGCTTCTTGTCTTTGGACCTTCTGCTGTGTGTGACAAAATCCTTACCAATCACATGTCTTCGTTGCTTCAGAGGGAATGCCACGTGTGCTTCTCAGCTTAGCTTCCATTGTTGGTGCTCCCCTGCAATTCCTCCTTGTGGCCTGGATAGTTCCGCACTTTGGAAGTGATGCCCAAATAGGAAATCAAGCCATGCATATGAAACAGTTGGCAGGACGGACAGGCCTCAAGCCACGTGCGCACTTTGTGGAAACCGAATTCAAGGGCCGTAGACAAAGCCAACATGTTGCATGTTACATCGACATGTGTCACACATATACCATACCTACCCCCAGAAGGGCGCATAGTTGATACAATCCTGCATGCTAAATCCAAAATCCAAACCCTCAACCCCCGGACCCTAATTCCTAAACAGTTCCAGGATCTCTTCAACATGCGCAGCCTGGCTATACACCTCGCACAACGTGGTTTCGAAGCAGGGTGTGTTGAGGCGGCAACGTGCAATGTGCAATTTAGGCCATTTAGGGTTTAGGGCTTAGTGTTTAGCCATTTGGCTGAGATGGCAATGGTGGTTTCGGGCGGTGTGGGGGGGGGGGGGGCCTAAATCTTTGCGAATATCACGGTCCTGGATTCCTTGTATAACTAGTTATAGTACTTATAAGGGTACCTCAAGTAGATCTCAATATGCTATCATTTAGGACCCAACATTATTTCTGTATCAGCATGCCCCCAAATACCTCTAAGATCTTTCGAGCACAACGCGGCCGCACAGTGCTATGATCATACAAAGAGGCAAAGAGCTCATGATTTGAAGATTCTGAATGCGTTTGCTTCCGGAGAGGCCACGCAATCGACTGAGATTCCATCCACTCCGCGAAGCATCACCAGTACGCAAATGGACTTTCAGGATTTTTGGGGATTTTGGGTTGGTGGAGCAGCGCTTTTGCTGCCGCCTGATTGTGTGTGACTTTCTTGGGTTTAGGGTTTTAGGGTTTAGGGTTTAGGGTTCTTGCCAATTGGTGTGAGCAACCAGGAGATGATCAACATTTTAGAGGAGGATGACAAGAAGGAGTGGCGAGTTGCCGCAGCCTAAGACTAAGATGTGAAGATGTGCGTTGCACTGCCACAGCAATCCTGGTTGTACAGTCAGAAGTGCAGACAGGTGAGTCCAGGCGCACTTGCTATATAGCGCATACATATATATATATATAGATATATACACACCCCATTACATGATAGTAGTTTCCATTTTCTTTTCCATCATCCCTACATGACCCTTATATATACCCTATCAAATTTTAGTAGTTTCCATCTTCCTTTCCATTATCCCTATAGAAACCCAGTGTACCCCTATATATAATCCTATAGTACTTTCCATTTTCTTTTCCATTTTCCCTCTATATTACCCCTATATATGGAATCTTGTGCTGTGATCTGTCCAGGCTGCTGTTCCATGGGCCTGCACCCTGGGTTGCGCTGTGATTTTGGCGAGTGCTTTCCGCTTCGGCCACCGGGCCAAGTGATGTGACGCTGTGAGATAGCCACCATTTAGGATGTCTTGTGCAAGCACGGAACAAAAGCTGTTGATGTTGATAGCTTTTTCATAAGAGTAAGGAAGCTGATGATCTTTTCGAAGTCTATGGGCCATCGGGGCTGGGCATTGCCCAGCACCACTTTTTGACAATCCGCACTTCTGCTGCCGTTTGACGGAGTGGCGGAGGTGTGAAGACATGTCCCAGATGTTTCCGGGGGTTTGCTGAACGAGTGCCATGGCTTCTGGAAGTTCTTTATGTGGCGTTGTAGGCATTGGCCAGCAAAAATCCTTCAGTGCTCACCCTCATCCTGCTGGTGCTTCAGCTGGACCCTAGGTAATTTTGTATACCCCAACACTGGGTATGTATATTCACTCCCCCACTCCCCTGAAGCACCAGTAGGTAAGTGATCTGATACTCTTTGCCATGAGCACCTCAGTGCCATTTTCAAGCGCCGATTTAAGTAAACGTCTGGCTGCTACTCAGCTACAGCAGATTTTGCTGACAAGAGCAGCCCTTGGCAAAAGGGCGAGGCTTTGTCTCCCTGATGTTTGGTTGGGCATGAGGGAAGGGGTTATTGTGGTAATCCCTACAACTCCTTCGTGATAAATCCCAAGACTCCATTCCCACATTCTCCACAAAGCGCCAGAGAGATGTAATTCGTTGCTTTTTGCATTGCCCATGGAGGTGCAAGAGAATCTGCGCTCACTTCTGCATGTGGGACTTTTGGCGCGCACGACAATACCCGCCTTGCGTGACGGTGCCTTGCATACTGCTGAATTCACTCGAACCAGGTTCTTCGTGGGCTTCATAGGGACAAAAAACCAAACCCCAAAGCAGCAGCTACGAGCCCACAAAAGGCCTTGTACAGACTTCTGTAAAGACTTGCTGCCACGAGGCAGAGCTGTCCAAATGCACATAGATTGGGCACCTCGAGTGTAAACCTGCGGTGCGTGAATCCCCTTCCTTGGGTACAAACTCTGCTCCCTGGTGCAACAAATCTTCCCCTCAAACGCACTTGCACTAGTTGGGAATACTTGTTTCAAGCGGGGTTTGTTACTAGGGGAGGGGACTCGGAAGGATGCCTAGGACATGCAGATTTGCATCACTGGTCGCATCGCTGGTCTGCACTCTTTGCTAGCCCGCCGTGGCGACACTGCACTTCAATCGCAAAGGCGGTTGGCATAACCACCTTTCTTGTAATATCGTATGTTAGAGTTGGCCCGGTTGAGTAAGATAATGCGTCCCCCAATACGCAGCCAACACCACTAACAAGCGCAGCCGTGGCACATGCTGGCGAGAACTAAGATCGCGGCAATCCAGGCTTGCGCGGTTCAATCTAAACGTTTGAAGCACGGAGTGATGGCCAAGAGCCAACATGGGGGTTTCCCAAAATNNNNTATTTTGGGAAACTACCACATCGTGGCCAAAAGGCTGAATCTGACGAACAAAAACAAAAAACAACTCTTCCTCTTTTGTATAAACCAACTGTCATATTGTCGGTCACATTCAGCCAGCCTCCACCTGCCAGTGGCCAGAACCTTGCTCTGCATCCTTATTCCGAAAATACAGGGTAACCTTACTCATCTTTTGTTGGGAATGGATTCCTCAAGTAATTCCTGGCCCTGTAAAATCTTCAGATTCATATTCAACACTATAATGCCTGCCAGAAACGATGCCGTGCAGCCGGTGAGATGGCTGCCCGCAACGAGCGGGTGCTGGCAAAGAGCTGGCGTACGTACAGATCCTGTCTAGATTGCTAGATTGACGCAGCCAAAAGCCGCCCTTTCGTCCTGCCTCCTGCTGTGGCGCGCATTTTCTCATGGCATTCCTCGCAATCCTGGCGTATTCACCAATTTGTGGATTTGAGGAATACCCAAACCCTAAACCCCAATACCCAAAGCCTAAACCCCAATACCCAAAGCCTAAACCCCAACACCCATACCCTAATCCCCCTCCTTTTTGAGAGACTCTATGTCTCTGAGATCTCCTGTGAGCTTCGCAGGCAGAGATCGACACCCAGCCTACGGTGGACATGGTGCATGGCCGCTTGACCACCGTGTTCACAATGAAGGCAGAAATCTGGCTCGAAATCTGCACTATACTTAGTGCTGGTTAGTAGGGAATAAGGGAATACATCATATAGGGATTGAATAGGGAGTATGTTCCATTATTCCCTACTAAGCATTAGTGAGAAGCAAGTTTGGGTCATTCCCCCTTACAGTAACTGTCCTCAATGGGGTTAAGGGGCGAGTATCACTCATACAACCCCCGGTGGTAATTTTTCTGTCTGTAAGGGGGATACAGAACCTGGGAGTGTTCTCCGAATTGGGTGCCCCAAAGCGCCGCCAAAGGACCAGATCCAAATTTTAGATATGGGGGTTTCCATAAACAGGGGCCCGATAGAGACCGCAATCTGCAGGTGGAGGATGGAACGCCGAGCGGCAATCTCAAGACCGCTGTCTTCCAGCCATGCAACATGGTCTTTATGTAGGGTGATGAGAGGTGGGTTCATAACGTTGATCTGACTTGCCCGGACAAACAGCAGAAATGACAACAGAAAGACGTAGCCAGTGCGATAGTAATAAGAACAGCAAGTGATGTTACGGCTGTTCTACTATTACTTTTCATTACTACAAAAGCATCGACTCCCTAGACCTAAAACCGCTCGGACCTCTGCAGGAACAAGTTCTTCCCTCGGGAGTGCCCCAAGAGCGGCTGCCCGCAGCCGAATGTGGTTGGACCCGGAGGACCCCCAGTCTGGCTTTCGGGATTAGAGAGGAGATGCTTAGGGGTCACTTGAGGGTTACTTAAGGGTTTTCGAGGGGTTGAATAGGGGTTATCTAGGGGTTAAATAGGGTCCATATTATATAGCTAGACTGAAAACTAAACCGCGAAGCACTTGCAGTCTGGACTGCAAAGTAGGTAGAAGAACACTGCAGAGATAGCTGGGTTGGCGCTTGTATTTCCTCGAAGTTGCTATTGTTGTGGGACCAAGCTGAAAAGCTTTAGGATTTAACTTGGACTTGGTTGCGTTTACTTTGGGGTTCAATTCAGACCTCATTAGGTTTTGCAGCTTGCTTGAGGTTTGGGGCCAGTCACTGAGTCTGGGTAAACCTTCTCCAGACTTCTTGACAGTTGGCCATGATTCAAGTTGTCCCGTTAAGATGAGCCCGAAACGCTTGTGTTCTTGTGTACCTATGATGTTCCCTCTTTTAAGCCTTGAGGGCCCCTAGAATCCACCAGAAAATTCCGGCGGCTTTCTAGCAGCTCAGGCAAGTGGAAAAGAAGGTGTTCAGCAAAACCCAAGCTTATCTAGAACCCAAACAAAAGGGTAAAGATACTGACACGTTAGGTACAAAGCCCACGGTTTTTTGAGGAACAGTGGTTCAAACCCTAAACCCTAAACCCTGTTTATGTAGGTAAACTGAAAGTCTTCAGGATTGAAGCCGCTGCGGCTGGGTCCCCAGCGCACGGAATGCTATTTGGTCGTTCCTGAAATAATGAGTCCCTTTTGGGAGGTTGGGGTAATATTAGGGTTATATTGGGGTTACATTGGGATAATGGAAAATAAAGTGGAAACTGCCATTTAGGGTTTAGGGTTTAGGGGTGAAGGGTTTAGGCTCCCCTTCGGGAGGGTTGCAAGGATATGTTACTTGTGTATAGAAAGGTTATGGGATTCCGGATTATACCGCGATACGTATTTGGTAGGCTTTAAGGTTTTGAGGTTTACATTTGTAGTTTCTCCGTTTGCTCTGCTTGTAAGAAGGATTTTGCTTTATGACATCGTGCCCTTAGAAATAAATCTTACCTTTTAACCTGAAACCCTTAAACCCATTAGGCAACCCTAAATAGCAGTTTCCATTTTATTTTCACTTTTCCCTAGATTATACCCCTATAATATACCCCCCGACCCTACTCATCGTAGAAGTTTCGGGCATGTACCCAGGCGCTGGTCAGATGCGGATGGCTGGCCCGATGGGAAGCTGCCTGGTGAGATGGCCAAGCACCTAGTTTGGGGCTTCCCAAAAACTCCTCGGCGCTTAAGGGGGAGTTGAGGAGTAAATAAACATACACATTTATATATATATATATATCTATATCTATAGATAGATATATATATGTCTATGCCTGTATATATATATATAAGTCTATCTACCTATCTAGCTATCTATCTCTCTCTCTCTCTCTCTCTCTCTCTCTCTCGCTCTATAGGGATATGTGAGCTAAAGTCTACACTCCTTAAGGGGGGTTATATAGGGTATTATATTGGGTTTAGGGTTTGGGGTCTAAACTCCTTAAAGGGGGTTATATAGGGGAGTAATTATGGGGGCTTTTAAGCTAAGACTATAGCTCATATGGGGATTGCAAGCGAATTGTGGGCCTTGTTGAAAAAATCCAACCCTAAACCTTAAACCCTAAACCCTAAGCCCTGTGACTTTGAGAGCAACTTCCAGTTGAAAGCGTGTTCGTCATGGTACAGTATTCCAATATTTTACTTGGGGGGGTTGAGGGTTTAGGGTTTACGGGGGGTACTTGTTTGCGTACACCCTAAACTCTATGCCTTGAACCCTAAACAACAAAGAGGGGGTGTTTTATAGGTCAGGGTTTGCCCTCCCATGTACAGCAATGTTTCAAGGCTATGAATTGGAATAAGCTTGGCATTGCTAGAAGATGGTCTTCTGCAGCTCATTGCATGCCAATCCCCTGCCCCTGGTGTACCCCTTCCAATAGTGAATGCTGCCCATCGTGGAGCCGTTGGGACAGGGGAGGGGATAACAGACTTGCACTGCTTCCTGCCAATGGCTGAGGACAACGTGGTTCTTCCACCTGATGACAACGTCCTGCTGGACATTGAGACGCCCAAGCTGCCTTGAACTTGGTCTAGAGTTGGTGAGGTGGAATGCTAAGACAACTTTACAAGGGAGAGGTTGAACAATATAGTCTTGAGGATGCTAAAATGATCTATATGGGATTATATAGGGATTATA